GGAAATCAAAAATTCTATTATGTTTGCCACGTAGGCGGCGCCATCGCGAGAATAACTCGGGCGTATTTTACGGAGGAAAAGAGCCGATATTCACCGTGTCACCGAGGTAGAACCGCGCGAGACTCGCAAGTGGCATTCGCTTGCGATGCATTCTTCTCGCGGCGAGCCCTAAAATGCACGGGCGCGGTGCATCCATCAGCCTCGATCGTCGACGTCTGTTTTCGCAGAATTTCTGCTGTACTTTTCGGGCTTTTCGACGTATGTACGTACACACACCCTCGTAACTGTACCTCGAGACCCTCCACGACTTTTCTGTCTAGCCGCGCTTTTCCCTGCCGACGCAGGAGAAGAGAGAACGTTATTCCCGAGCGGCTCGCCAAGTCGTTCAACGACTTCTTCCAACGACAGTTTCTTCTTTCTCGATAATCTTTCATGATATAGCCCACCAAGTAGTTCACAGATCCACGCTGGCCGGCTGTATGCAATCCGTTTAAGTTTCAAACAATATTTAAGTGCTTTGGAACGGCTTCTAAAATGTCTATCTCGAATGCCGTATTACTTTTTAATTAATTTTTACAATCCTAGACTCAGTCTTCGGCATACTACTCTTTAAAAGGTCTTACAAAGCTGCTAGTAATAATATTACACATGCTGTAATAACGTAAGTAATTGCATTTTCGTCGCCGTTGGAACACGTAAATCTATCAAGTAAGATATTATTGGAACATCCGTAAGCTTAGTAATCTTTTCGTAAACGGCTTAAAAGAGGTTCCCTTTTCTCCCGAAACGTCATACTTGGTCGCGGAACATTCGATGTATGTTTTGCTAACATCTTCGTAGATGACGTTCTATTGTACCCGAAGCTGCACGTCCCTGACTTCTCCATTTTGCCTTGCGCTTCTTGCTCCTTTTTCCAACCACCTCTATCCTCAACCTCTCTCGTCCCAGTTGTTTGAACAACGAGGGGTGGATATTATTCCCACGGGATCTTTCCAGTCGTCTTACGACTTCCTCCGAGGGTAGTCTCTTTTTCAAGACGATGCGCGTACGAGATACCTTTTGCGAAATCTTTTCTGCGATATTTAATATCGAAAATTATTCGACAATTTTAACGGCATTAAAAACCATTTAAAGGTCAAATTAAACAATTTTCAATATCAACATTAAATTTATGTTGAATTAAATCGCTGTTAATTATCAAAGTAGCAGCTACTAGTAATATAGTGGAAAAAGTACCATTTTTCAGTACACGTTTGCTACAAATAATGCATCGAAAACAGATTCAAGAAACGGCAATGAGTAAAAATATGTAATTAGTAAATATTTCATCCTATGTACGCTCACAGTTCTCTTTGCTGTATCTCTCAATTTTTTACCTTGTTACATTTTCCACTCGAACGTGCCAAGCATGCTTTAGAGACGAAGCGAATATTATTTCAGCGCTGTTAGCCATTATGAGAATATTGCTAAGCGAGCTGTTTTCCTTTTTGCGAAATATTACTTGAAATTTGAGAAGTAGTTGGCTGTAACAAAATTTTACTAATTCTGCCCTGCAATATAGAAATTACGCAACGTTAAACGTCACCCTTTCATTCCGATTTCGAACGCTGCGATCTGAATGCACCGATGGCGACGTATTTATGTTAGTGCGATAAACGATTTCTCGACTTGATCGTGCCGGTCGGATATGACTCGCTCGAATAACGAAGCCGCGCCAACGTACGTTTCATGACGAAGAGTCGTCCTATACAGAGAACGTTCTCCGCATTCGGTATAGATCTCTCTTTCTGGCGGCAGGCGTTTCTCACGGAGCGTTACAACCAAAGCGCATCGAGGGGGTTCCAATCCGCGGGGTTGCCAACGCTAGCATAAGATGTAAATAATGTTTCGCCTCCGGTGCATTCCGCATGCATCGAAAATCCGAGAGAAACGAGCGCATCCGTCGACCCTGATCGTCAACGTCGCGACCGGCAGCCCGGCACCGATACATCCATTTCCGCGGAATTTTCAACCGCATGCCGGCTCGCGCAGGAATTCTCGCGACATGTCTTCCGACGATTTCCTCCTTTCTCCTTTTCCCCCCCTCCTCCCTTTGAGATACACTGTCGCCTTTCCCGGCTTCATTTTATTTTCTCACTCGACCATTTTTCTCCCTCATTCGCCCCCAACCGTTCCGGAGCAGTTCCGGTTGTTTGAACAACGGCGCGAATATTATTCCGCCGATTACGCGCGACTTTTCCGGCTAGAAAATCCCCTCTGCGATTTCCGCCGCGCAGACGGTAGTTCGCCTACCGGCGGTATTTCTTCTGGAGGTATAGACGAGTACATATATGTATAACGACGAACGACGTTTCCAAATTTTTCACTGCGAGATGCTCTCGAGAGTGCCGACGTTTCCATTCGACGGTACTCCTCAGCCTTTCCCAACGAACTACACGATCAAAATTTTCTTCCGTCGCAATAGCGCGGAGGACTTGGCAACGCGGAGAGTCACGTTTCACGGAAATGCGCAAAATGCAGATCAATAACGATTTACAAGAATGCAGTTTTCTAAATAACCTCATCTCTCTTGCTTTAATGTTTCTTTCAGCATTTAAATTTTGATACTGTAATACATTGCAGTTAGTTATTTTCAAGCGTAAAGCACACGGAGAGAATTTTCTCTTACAATTTATCCTGAAAATCGATAATCGTGGGACAACATAGTATTTTAAAGAATTTTGAGAGTAAAGAATTATTTGACGCCAGTACATGGTTAACGAATGTAGAAAGTTGCTAAACGTCGCTTGGCTGGCAAATTCTAATTAAAGAAATTTATTGCGAAAAACATCACCTCAGCCAGGGTTTGAATCTGGACCTCCCTACACTCTAGCAGAAAAATTAACGTGAAGATGTCAACAGTAGTACTATTTATTACGATAAATATTACCACATTCCTCAGTGGTCGAATTGGTGAGACGCCCGCCCAGAGTGTAGGTAGGTCCAGGTTCAAACCCTGTCTGAGGTAATGTTTTTCGCAAGAAATTTCTTTAATTAGAATTTGCCAGACAAGCGTCGTCTAGCAATTTTCTAAATTTTGAGTTTTTTGAAATGTTACCATACATTTTACTAGTAATTACACTTCGTACACATTTTACTAGTAAAACGCATGGTAAAATTTCAACTCTCAAAGTTCTTGAAAATGCCATGTTGTCCCACGATTACATGATTTTCAAGGTAAATTTTAAGAGAAAATTCCCTTCATGTATGATCATCATAAATATAGTAAAATTAATTTTCTTCCATTTAAACAAATTTTAATTTATCCTGAGAAAAGAGTTTGCTGTGTGAAAGATGATCTTTGCTAGCTGAGGGGCAACCGGAAAGCCCTTTAACTTCGGAAGGGTATACACAAGTGAGAATACTTTTATAGGATCCCGAAACGGCAAGAGGAATACTAATAATTTAACTGGTTGCTAAACCCCGGGCTTTTGCCAGGCCACTTAGGGTATGGAAGGGGTTAATTTGCGAGTTTCATAGGACCCTCTCCCTCTTGAGGGCTCGCCAAGCTTATTACAGTAAATAGCTTAGGCGAGGGTGCCCCGTTCGGCCTCCCTTGTTCAGTTGGGCCTTTCATCTCGCAAAACTCATCTCATTCTCTCCCTCCCTCTGGTCTACGACCTAAAGGATACAGACCGTGGAATCGTTATCACTTTATCAAAGTCGGGCGCGGTGCTCACCCCGACAGGAGAAAGACCGTGCTTTCAACCGACCGTATCGTTTATTAACGGTTTAACAGCTTCGTGCAACGTATATTGCATTAAAGTACGAGACACCGCGCCGATTAAACTGTTGCTGTGCCGGGGGAAAAAAGATCGTTCCGTCACGAACAAGCACGCGAACGAAAAATGCCTGCTTCTACGGCATATTTAAAGCGTATCGCAGTAATAGGATAGCGACACGGCGAAAAATGGTTTGGAAATAAACCCTCTCAACCCCTTCATCGTTCCGTCCGATAAATTCGTTGGGCAACGATTATCCTCGCGCAGTTTCTTAATTTTCATCCTTAAAAGCACAAAAGCTGGCTCTGATAGCTATAGAAAAATAAAAATCCAGTCGGGTTACAATATAATCGTACATGTGATACATGCGAAGAAAGAAAGCGAACAAAAGGCGATACAATGCCGGCAATTTGGTTAATTTGCATGGATTATCGGGGCGTGAAATCTCGGACGTGAAGTTTGAAGCCGGTCGAGAGGACATTCCGGCGCGATTCTTACCTCGAGCCGGAAGTCGCCGAGTACAAATCCAGACGTTTTCGTTCGGTACGAGTAGCAGTTTGCAATACTATCGAACTATTTCCACCGGGGAAGATTGCGATTTGAATGGTAATCACTCGACGCGGCAAGTCGCTAACGTCTTTTATGCAAATAGACATGACTTCGCTTTTCCGCCACGCACGTACGAGTCTCCGCGGCACATCGCGCTCTCACGATCCGCGAACACGGGAGATATACTCACCCGGGCGAAATTGCATTTGCCGCAGTGCGGGGCAGGATACGTACGACCTGTTCGACGGTGTACTTACGAAGCTTCGTTGCCTGCACGAGGCCGTTCGCATAGATCTGATGTGCCGATGGCACCGTCGTCGTGTTTCTCCATTTAAAATTACCGAGATAAACGGTGCACACGCACTCTTTGCAGTGCTCAATCTAAAGTAATCGGTTTCCTCTCTTATCGTTTGACGGGCCGTATATTCCGCAAAATAGCGATCGAGGATATGAAGAAGAATTGAGATAAAATATTTTTATTTATCATATTCGAGCATACAATGAGCTTGTACTAATCACTTTAGCCACTCTTTAGAAGTCAATCGGTGCATTATAACGTTGAATCGGTGATTAGCTAATTGAACAATATAATCGCGCGATAATTATTCCTGCGTTCATCTTTTGTATTAAGATACGACAATTGCTCTGTGTTTGCGAGAAATGTTTTTACCAACACAAAAATTGGAATAGTTTTTCCAGAGAACATCACCGCGCATGAATCGCGCGTTTTCATGGCGGATACCTTTGAAGAACGCACAACATCGGAAATTGATCCGTACTTCGACACCACGGTGCCGTCCAATATCACCGGCTTGGCTGGAGAAACTGTTCAACTGGCGTGTAGAGTGAAAAATCTCGGAAACAAAACGGTGAGTTGAAACAGTCCTTTTTTTAAACGGACGTTAAAGTTTTTATGTTACAAACGCAGATAATATGAAGAAATGAAATTTTATCGTTGACGATAATCGCAAAGTTGCACGTAACGTTAGAATTACCGACACGCTCCTCGCAGAATTGCGAGCAAATCTTAAGCCTTGCGCGTAGCAATTGAAATTTTGACACGAGGTATTGGCAGGAGAACACAACCACCGACAAGCCGCAAACACGCGAGATAGGCTTGCCCGAATAATGCACGTGATTCGGGAGCGACGAGCCGAGACGCGCGGCGTCGACAACATTTTCGAAATGTTACGTGAAACTGCATCTCTTGTTTGCGGGATTCGCGAATTGCAGGATGAAAATGTAACGAATGTCGGGAACGGCGATGTTTACATCGTAATTTGTCGGGGCGAAAAGCAGGAAGAGGGAATGGCGGGTTCTCCCGTGGATTAGCTAGGAACGAAAATTCCGTGCTATTATTCCAGTTATGCAATTATCGTCGCCACTATCGCAATACCGCGCGCGACCACCGAGATCTCAATTTCGACGCAGGCTTCCATCATTGATTAAGTTAAATCGGTTCCGCTTGCATCGGGCCGTAAGACGAATTTTTTCGCCTCCGCGGTTAAATCAGTGTTTCGAGTAGGTCGGTAAATTAACTCGAAGGCGGACACGGCCCTCAGGGAATTTATCTTCCACTCTGGGACCTCCGGGCGTCCTCGATCTCTAGTATTAACGGTTCACGGCACTACTCGGGGATTATCGTAGCGGTTAAGTAGAAAAGGACGATCTTTGTCAGACTATGTCTTCATGCAGACTCGGTCGGGAGGTCACAGTTTTAATCCCAGAGTCTCATCTCTATGCAAAGCTCGGTCTTCGCATTTATGTCAGCCGCAGCTACGTATGTGCTGTCTAATATGTTTTCATTGACATTGCGTATTTATTTATAGAGATACACGCGATAGGAAAGTATAATTACCGCGGTAATTAACACTCTATTAAAACGGACATTGATAACAATACGATATTGTATTAATGTCTCGCCACCTGGATATGTATGGGCACACGTGTGCGCGCATGTATATTTATGTCGCGAGAGAGAGTGTCAATGGAAATGCTCGGTCGGACGAAATTACGCACGGTCTCTGGCTCGCGCCAGGATATGAAGAAGCTGAAAACGATCAAGTTACGTGAAAAAGTTGCGCCCCCCGGCAGGCAAGAATAAGCGGCACTCTCGCGATGATATTAACTCTGAAAGTCGGTCCCCCGCGTACGCAAAAAGATTTGAGAGAGGAGAAGCAGCAATCGCCGTTATGGCAGTCACGGTGCGTTCTTGGGTTTTATCTCGCATATTTCTGCCGAAGCCGTGCACGACCGTGTCTCCTTTTTCTCTCTCTTTCGCGCGCGCATATCGTGAATTTTATTACGCGGAAAAAGTTTCCCCCGAGTATACCGGGGTATAGGCGATGCCTTCTTTTTGCGAAAAAGTATATTAACTGCGACGCCGGCAATCGCATTAGATCGACAATCGGGGGAGCTCTCGCAGTTTATATTTCCGATAATACTCAGGCGCAAGTGCGCATCCGTGAGTTTTACCTCGCGGTTGATCAACACCGCGACCATTTGGGCGCACACATGCGCAGCGTATTTTAGCGCAATGTGGAAAACAATATTGCGTGTGTGCAACATTTTCATAAAATAACAAAGTTGAAATTCCCTGTCTCTATTCTACATTTAGGAAGGGATTTAATACTTGCGCCGCGGCTTACATTAATTAACCTTTATGAGAACAATTGTATGAAATACAAGACTTTGTTTCGAATGCAGGCATTAAAATAAAGGTAGACAGATTACCGAGTATTAAATGAATTAGTATACAATACCTGGCAATGAGTTTACAGACATAAGGGTAATTAATTAAAATTACCTTCTTTCATTGTTATTTTTACATAATTAAATGCTTGGATATTTGATGGAATGAGAATCAGTATTGTTTTTAGCTGTTGATAAATGTTACAGTAAGGCGCGGCTTAACGAATACGATTCTCGCGAAATTGCATATGAATCATCAACGAGCACGTTTTTCGCACAGTTTGCAGACTAATGTAAACTGTTAAAGTAATCTATTAAAGTAGCAAAAATCATCCAAGTTATTAAAGCGCCCAGGCTCGTCGTTACGATGTAATTTCCAACACGTGGGGAAATTGCACAGGTCACGAATGTTATGACAGCTCCGAATAATCGGTTGGATTCTGCTCTAATTAACGGCTTCAAGAACTTCTTAGCATCATTCAAACTTGGCGAATGTCACTTTACACCCTTTCTACGATGTTCAACCATACTATTATCGTATTGGTGTCAAACGACACTTGAGCAATGCCTTATTTACGACACTGTTTAACGTAATTTAACAATATTTTATTAAATTATATTGAAATTGTTCGATTAATATATCTCATGTCGTACATCATACGGGCCTATTCGCGTTTACATTTCCGTTTCATAATTTCTAATAGAAGTTAAGCGAGCAAATTTGCCGCGCCTATTCGCCTATAAATAATTGCAGAGTACGGGAGTCGTCGTTGCTCCGAGATTGTAGTCATACATCACGGGGTTATATAGCATTAAACAAAGACATGAAGTATTCCAGCTGCGGCGAATCTACTGCACTCGTAAATTTCTCGGGGCTAGGAAAAGGGAGAGTATAAAGTTTTATCGTCCAATCTTACGAGCAACAGGGTGTGAGGAGCGGTGATAGTTAGCAATACGCGCAGCTCGCGGTAACTCAAGATTTCTGCATTTAGATTGTAGGAACCGACATTTTTTTGTCAGCCTCTTGTTAACCGTGGATTTTTCGCGAAAACACTTATGGCTACCGCAATTCCACTTTAATTTGGCGCTATAGAACAGCATGAGATACAATATGTGATCGAAAATCAATTCTTTCTGTACACATTAATATGTTTAACCTGACATTTGCTTGTTTGTGTCTCTCTTAGGTTTCATGGGTGAGGCATCGTGACATTCACTTGCTGACAGTCGGCCGTTACACTTACACAAGCGATCAACGTTTCGAGGCTATGCACACATCCCATACAGAAGAATGGATTCTGAGAATACGATATCCGCAGCGAAAGGATTCTGGTATCTACGAGTGCCAAATATCCACGACTCCACCCATCGGTCATCCTGTTTATCTCACCGTAATCGGTAAGTGTTGCATAGAAAACGTACGATAATTTTAGCTTTACTAGAGATGCATGAGAATTTGCATCGTAATTCAGCGGTTATCTATTCTATCGTGGTGAACAGCGATTCATTTGTAGCCAGAGTAAATTTTAAATGATGTTTTGTTCACATAAAGCTGCTAGTCGTGTTAAATATTCCTCGTAATAAACATTGATTAAATATTGACCATATAACAATTGCACAGTAAAAAACTTCCGTAGAAGAAGAAAGATTATTAACTTATCTATGACATTTCTCTTTTATTCAGAAAAATTTGATTTAATTTTTCTTTAAATAATTTGCGGGATCGGTATTCTTGTTCTAGTGAAACGACTGAATCAAATGATTCGCATCTGACCTGATTATGCGATTAGAAATGTCTTTATATAGCGATCTAGAAGAGTCAAACTAAATTAATTTGCCTCTATATTAACGATAAAGGTCTATTTAACACACAAGTCGCCATTCAAATGTCACGATTCAATTGGAAATTCGCATTTAGATTCTAAACATAGTCTTAAATCTTAAAAATTATCCGACACACCGTGGCGATCGCTACAAGTTTTCATCGAAATTCAACTACGCTTGAATAATTCAAGATGCATGCAAGTTGAAAGATGAAAAAACGCAGAATATTCCCGTAACTTTTCCCTTAAAACTTTGTCGGTCATTTTAAGTATTTAGTAGGGGGTAAAAGACCGTTTGCGAAAGTTATAACCTAGTAGGCCTCGTGGGAATCGCCAGACAATCGAAAGCGTGATAAATCAATGCGAGGAAGTTACTTGAAGAAAAAATTATTAGGGACGCGTGTAGGAGGCGAATATGGACAGTGTCCCCAAGTCTATAAGACTGAGAGAATTACTCGCACGTATGTCATGCAATTTTCAAGGGAATAGAGTTCAAAAGTGAACGGAAAGTTCAAAGATACACATAAATTTTAAGAGAAACGTTTTTCTATTATGCAAGTCAAAGAAGTTACGAAATATAATTTCTTAAACAAAATCCCTATTTGGAAAAATGTTGAAATATCAAAGCACATATTCTATGGTAAAAACGCGATCTATATACGTAGCACAAAGCAATACCGAAGCAACGAAAAAATGATGAAGATTCGCAAGTTAAATCACAGTTGTTTCTTCTGACATCTGTATTTTCCTAAGTGATATCAATCAAATCTTCCGAAAATTTCGGTCAAGAAATATTTCTTCTTCAATCCATCAAATCCCGAGAAAGCTTTCTTATCGTGGATGGTCTTTAAGGGATAATTTTGTTAGGAATAGGCGGGCACTCTGCGAACACGAATTACGAGCGTGGCCAATTATCGCGAAGCTAATGAAGCCAAGAAAAGAAGGAGGGCTCAAGAAAGAAGAATCGACAGCTACTCTGCCAATCTTCTCTCTTCTTGTTTGTGTGCTATCCATCACAGTGTCCCATTCTTTTACCTCTAGTTTCTTCTTCTGCCAGTTGAGCCCTTTTTTGTTTCATCAAATTCCATATGTCTCTCAATTTCTTTCGGGAAGAAGAATACATCCCCAACTTTCACTGATTTTTCTTTAGCGTAGCAATAACAATAACGTGACATAGAAAATGACATAGAAAATAAAAAATTAAAGGAAAGCAGTTAAAAATTTCATTGTTAATATTGATTTAAATTTGGAAAGCTCTCTTTCTCCCTCCCTCTCCCTCTCTCTAAAAGTATTTTGTTAAGTTTCTTCTTATCTTCCCTCAGTAGAATAAAAATTTCTCCGAGTTTCCTTTTTGCCAGAGAGGTGTCGATCCTGCAATTTTCGTCGTTCTTTCTATTAGTTTCAAGAGAAAGATGTCCAAAGATAAATTCACAATGGACAGAGGTGAATGCCCAATTATCCACACTTGTTCTCGCTCGCGTGAATGCATCGGTGCTAGGTGCAGAATAGGCATGCGGTATATATAGCGACAGGATAATCCGAAACGGGGGATAAATTGCGTCCGAGCAATTGATCGACGTGACGGTAGAATTCCCTCTCCATCTTCGTCCATTTAATAAAGACGCTGAACGAGGCGACGCGAAGCGGATCGAAAAACAATAGTCGACCTTTCAGCGGCATTCTTGGCACGCGATGCCCGTGAAATTGTGGCGACAAATTGAGCCTTCTCAGGAACGGAAGATTCTTCCCCAATGTTGCGCCCTTTCGTCGTTTCGCCTTCCATCGCGATCCGCATCGACTGCCTGAAAAGCGAACGATCTCACCTCCATTTTCGCGGCCTTCTTTTAAGCGCTTCTTCGTCTTTCCTTCCTTCTTCGCTTCCGGGCCGCGTCTCTACTTCTCGCTGTCGCGATTGATGCCGTCGCTTACATCGTCTGACTCGTCTGACTCGATTTTTAAACGGTTCGACGTTTACCATGAGAAGTGATGTGTAAAGATCGTCGAAATCTGCGAATACGAAAAATTCAAGGAAATTTCAGAGCGGTGCTTACATCAATATTACGCGGTCGAAATCGTGTCTGTTATTTTAAACTCGCGAAACAATATCGTGGTTTCGCACATTTCTTTCGTTTGCGTATTATTCTTTCGTTATTACGAAAATCCTCCCTTGCCTTACTTTTATGTTAAAAAAATTAAGGGGGATAATTTCTTATTTTGTTGGAAAAATATTATTCTTTAACAATTGCTTTAGCATCATTGTTTAAAGCATCCTATTAAAAAACGAAAAAATTGAGACAATCCAGTTTTCAACTGGAATCTCCTTAATTGTCCGAGGAGAAAGGCACTTATTCATTTTGATGATCTTTTTAATCATCCACTCGCGCATTCGCTCCCATTTCCGTTATCGCTCACGTAACGATCGGTACGTTGAATAAGCTCTGTCATCTGCCTGCGCAGAAACGGTGCATAATTCGTTACAAACGCGAGCATTTCGTGCGGTGGCATCTGCTGATATTATGACCAAAAAGTTGTCTGTGTTACCGGCCATCTTTTTTCGCGATAATATTCCTCTTATCTCTAGTTCGTTTGCCGCTCCTCTTTATCTCATTCTCCATCTTCCACTTCATTTCATTGCCATCTAGGAGGGCAATAAAGGACATGAAAGTTTTATCTTTTCATTTGCCTCTTTCTCTTTCGTTTTCTCTCCCTTTTTTTTCTTCCGAACGTTTGATAACCAAACACAGGCGCCCGACACGAAGTACCGGGGAGGCTCTCGTTAAAACAGTTTAAATAATTCGTTGGATCCATAAATGAGTTATTTACAAGCGGATCCGGTTCTCATTAAGCCATTGTCGAGTGTCTGCTCAAACGGATCGCGATGTTCATTTCACGAAAGAAGAGAAACGAGTATCGCACTGTTCGCAATTTGCTCTCATTACGTCGATTGAATGGCCGTCAACTTACGGCGAATGCCGCCGACAGACGAATGAATCATTTGCATCGAAAACCGCGACGTTTGTCTACCGTCGACACATCTGGGCCAGTAACGCGATCGTTTCCCTCCTCTTTCGCATTGGCAAGTGTTCTCAATCGCTCTTACTCGATTGGGGAAAACCATATTGTACGATACTTCTGGTTTGAACGACGAGCGAATCATCATTAACATATTTACGATCGATTATTTACCGCGCTTTCTCTTTTATAATCTAATTTATTCTACATGAAGTACCTTCGCAGCCACAGCCCCACGCTCACAAAAGTCATTCACCGCACGCTGTAAAGTCTGCGTTTAATTCTTTTTCCCGTCGCAGAGCCTGAATTTAATTAAAGACACTGTTTTTTGCAACTAGCTCGACCCACCGCCGCGCGTTTTTGAGTTCTCGTTACTCGGGAAAACGAAAATAACTCAAGCGAATAGACGAAGATACTAGACGTGAGAAGAAATCAATCGCCCGTCGAGGGCGGAATCGAAATAACATTGAGAGACGATACTCCTCAAAATTTCCACCAGAGCGAAATTTCGAAAATTTCACGAAACAATTCTCCGCGAACGATGTATCGAGCGCCGTCCCCGATTTCGACTTTGTGTCCTTCCTCCCTCGGCACCGGTAAAGCAATATAGCCTTTTCACCCGTGAATCAATTTTGCGGCCGTCACGTACTCGGTCAAGTCGTTTCTCATTGACGTTAGCGGTAGTAAGAGAAAAAGGAATCTCGAAAGGAGTCGGCGGAAGGCATCGCGAGACGGATGGGCAGTTCGTAGTTTTCGTTTGTCGCAAACGTGCGTGGAAAGTTAAGCCGTGCACATGCAGCATAACGAATTTACGTTACCTCCAGCGTGCAGAAGTTCCTTAACCATTACCGAGTGGCCCGGCTAGCCGGGACATTAGGCAGCTAATTAGCGTTCACTAATTAGTTTTCGCACGGATGCCCAAACTAATGTCCCTTCGGCCGAAGCCGCGCACTATCGCGATACGATAACATCGCAGAAATAGGAAGAAGATATTATACAATTAACCGGCAAAAATATGCAACGTGATATATCTGTGGGGTTATAAGTTGATGATAAAAAGTATTGAATATATCAAGAATAAGAAATGTGCAGCGCGTTAATTAATCAAGGCCAGCGATACTTTGTTACGTGGAATCTGGAACATTCGGCGAGTACGCTCGCTACGTATGGTGCACGATGAAAAATTAAGCGTATTAAGCTCATTATCGTCGTAATTCCAGCAAGTGGTATTAATAACTGTAACGCGTAATAATAATAGGGTATATTTCTTTACTACGTTTCCGCCGTACAACCGCGCCGGATTCCCGAACGGCGAGAGACCGTCGCGTGGTAAGTGCTAGAAATTGCGCGTGGGTTCTTTGAAAATTAAAGAGGCACCCGCGAATCCATTAAACGCAAATTTATCCGCCACGTCCATTAAGAGACGCGATTACCAAGATTATCATGAAGCGCTGTCGCGTGAAACTCGGTGCAGAAGTAAATGCAGTTACCCTCGCGTCGCCGTGCCGTAGCACACGTTCATATTTCCGGCGAGCGGTACGAACTCGGGACGAAGAAAACTCG